ATAATGTAAAAAAATAATTAAAAAATTTTCAAATTAGTATTAAAAAAAATCTGCCTTAGCTTTTTAGCTGAAAATTTGCAAGGATGTATTTCTGAGCATTGTGAACAAAGTTAGCTATGTGGCATCTAAAGGAAGGAGCCTTTTTCAAACCCTACTGATTTCGTCGACTTGTGATAATTGAAGGAGCTAAATGTTCTATAAATTCTCAAAATCGACGTACAGAATCAAATGACTGTTCCCTAGACTCGATAGGCGGTTCTACAGCATTACATGTTGCTGTATCTATTGGTGACAAAAAACTCGTCGCATATTTGGTCGAGCATGGTGCTGACATTTATATTAAAAATCAGGCTGGAGAAACGCCAGTTATGAATGCTATGATTCACTCTCATATAAAGCACTATTTTCAAGATTATTTGGTGTGTGGTTATTCAAATAGAGAAAATTTGTCTGATTTACCGCTAATGCCGGTTGCTAAGGAAAATCGTCGAGAGCAGCCACAGCAGGATTGCTTTTGGGAATACAGAGCTATTGATTTTAACGCCAATAATGATCCTCCGTGGCATCCGTTTCCATCGCAGGAATCATCTGAATTACTACGGCATTTATATTGTACATCACGAACGAATATAAGTTTTTACTTGAGATCTCCACTAGGTCTCTATTATATTGATTTAGAAAAATTTTTATGCATTCGCGTGTCTGTTGCTGATTCTACCTATCCAAATATGGCATGGATAAGATGTCGTGGGTCTAGTATTTTGAACTGTAACTGCTATTGTGTATGGCAAATATTATTAATAAAACATGATGAAGTAGACAGTCGTGAACAGATGATACCGTCGTTAGAATTTGAACAGCTGCCAATATTTCAGAAGGAAAGAAATTTACGTTTAAACTCCTGGTACTACTGTGATGCCAAAACCAACTCAGTGTTAGATACTTCAATGAATTATAGACGTAAACAGATTTCTATCAGTGTACCATTTATTGGAGAGAATTTAATATTTAATCTATTTGACTTAACATTCTGCAATGGAAGCTTCAGTATTTGTGGCTTCATTCGATGGTTACAAGAACCTTCAGTTATTACAGGTACGTTGACATTAAGCGATCGAAGAAGGACTTTTCCTTCCTCTTAGTTCTAAGAGAACTCCATCATTCTCCATTAGCTTGAGCATTAAATTCTATTTTGGCGTTGAAATTTAGATGGAATGTTGATAGAGATAAGTTCAGATAAAATCGTGGACGACACAACGGATACTGATGTTAGCTGTGCTGCAGATAGTGAAGAAGACTCTATTGAACCCAATGACTGTTCTGGTGAAAAAACAAACAAAAGAAACGTATGTGGATAGTAAACTACTCACTGACTAAGCCAGAAGGGTTCTACTATGTATTGTTTTCTGCATAGGGTTAAGTTTCTCTGGAAAGTTTGCTTTATATATGTCAACAAACCTCGTTTATAAATAACAGAACTTTCACAAAGTTCACGGTCTACTGACAGATACAGAATTAATTCATTTAAATAGATCAAGATTTTGCCATCTTTGTGCGAATATAGTTCTGCCAGGGAACTAACGTTACGAGTCATAGCTTACCCTCTAGGTTCTAAACTATGATATACTATGTAATATACTTTTTTGTCTGGATTAGCCCCCTACTACAGCTAATGTTCTTTCTTTTTATTTTTTTAGAACACATTACCTATGAGTATGCAAGATTTTGATACACCTGACAATTTTCCTGTTTCACCAACTGTTGCTCTTGACTGTAATAACTATTCTTCTAGCTCACTGTCTGGCTATGAACAGATGCAGCGAGATTTACAAAATATTTCAAACACAATTCAAAATCTGTTGAGAGAAGGAACTACATCTTTATCAACAAGAGATTGGATTAATTACAGAGTTTGTTTTCTGGAACTTTTTAGACAAAAACGTTATGAATATCGAGAAATATTGGACAATATGATTATAACTGGGATGTTGAAATTAAGAACTACTAAATTATCGCTTGGAGGAAAAACATTACAAATGGAATTGAAACAGGAAATCGATAACTGTCTAAAAAGTAACCAGTCGACATAGATATCAACCGACTGAAACATAGTTCTTTGGATTTGTATATAAAACGATTTGCTGAAGTTCAAAAATTTACACAGAAAACTAAACCATCTAAATTATCAAATGAGGTTTTTTATCATTTTATTGCAAAACTTAAGTATGACTTTGAAGTCGGCATAATTCATAATAGTAATCCTTCTGGAAAAGAATTCGAAACTGTACCAAATGTTTTGAAACGAATACAGGTATTTTATCGAGCTTATTCATTACAACTTCCATTATATGAATCAGGAAAAGAGGTGTTAGCTCAAATCAAATCAAATACAGTTTGTGCCATTTCTACATCAATTGGATCAGGTGAACAGAGTCTTTCTAAAAGGAAGAAAAATTTAGATATACTCAATAAAACAATAAGTTTTAACTTTTGTTTCTTTTCATTACATCTGATTCTAGGAAAGTCAACATTATTGCCAGTTCTATTGATTGCTGATGATTATCCAAGAGTTATTGTAGTGCAGCCACGACGTTTAGCTTGTGTAATGCTCGGCGATCGTGTTAATAAAACAATGGTAATGGCAAATGGAAATGAGCCCCAATTAGTCGGATGGATTGTGAGTGGTGCACAACAGAATATTAACGCACCCATCTTATATATAACAGATGGTATAATGAAAGAACGTTTATTGTATGATGATAATTTATTTGAGATTGATAAAAACCAGAAGCCAACAGTATTTATTATCGAAATACAAGAACGTAACGTCAGCATCGATGTCTGTATAGCGTTATTTACACGTTTACTCACTGAAAAGCCACAATTAAGACAAAAAATTAAAATAGTTCTATCATCAGCAACATTGGCTGAAAATATTTCAAATTTGTTCACTCGAGTTCCAGAACTCAATTTTGGTCAGTTTACAAGATTAACAACGCCTACTCCTTTTAATATAGCAAAACTTCTACGTCCAAACGAAAATTTATTAGACGTTGTACAGGAACTGTATAAGACGGAGAAGCACCGTGAGGATCAAATACTTTGTTTTGTTTCGAGTGTCTCTGAAGTTCATCGATCGTGTCAACTATTGACAGAACTAAGTAACGGATCGATTGTTGCCTATCCACTCACTCAGTCACAATCTGTTGCTGATCAACAGAAGTTTATTGAACAGGGTAGTGTCTTCTTTTCAACAACAGTTGCCGAAACATCTTTGACATTTCCATCTCTGGTTTATGTAATCGACGTTGGCATGATCAACATACCAATATATGATTTAGAGAAGAAACAAATGGTCATAAAAGAAGCGCATGCAGCTGAATCAACCATAGAGCAGAGGAAAGGAAGATTAGGACGAACAAAACCAGGTGAATATTATGCATTATACAACTATAAAGTCGAAGATAAAAAGTGTCCAACACCACAAATATGTCAAACAAATTTAATTGAATTAGAATTTTCTCTAAGAAAATCGCCAGTGAAATATGGCTTAAATTATTTGAAAAGATATCTACCCGATCCACCAACTGAACAAGGGATTCAATTAGCTATTCAGGAACTTAAGAAAACAGGTAGTATTGAAATTTAACTGTTCTGCTACTGTACTTGAAGTTCCAGGGAAAAGAATAGGCGTCTATGTTATTGACCCGATTGCTGCTATTGGCCCGACGGTCTTTGCTAACGAGGAAACTTTTATTCGATGTATATCTCCGATTTCGTTCGTTCATACCTCGTTCGATAGAGGATTGGGCGTAGGTAAAAACTTAAAAGGATTTATCCTCATGGCTCTTGAAGACCCGATTTTCTGGAAAATCAGTTTTTTAGAAACTCTAAAAAAATAACCAAAACCTTTTTTAACGAGGCATAATTGTAGCTCACACATTTCTGGTTAAAATGAGACATTTCCCACTGCACCATTGTCAGCTCGAGCTGACAATGGACATTTAGCGCTTTTCTTGTAAATTGTATAACTTTGCAAAGAAAGGTCGCGTAGAGCTAGGAGAGGTCTCATTTTAATCAGAAATGTATGAGCTACAATTATGACATATTAAGAAAGGTTTTGGTAATTGTTTTAGAGTTTCTGAAAAACTGGTTTTCCAAAAAACCGTGTCTTCAAGAGCTATGGAGATAAATTCTTTTAGGCTTTTTACCTACTCCCAACCCTCTATCGAACGAGGTATGAACGAACGAAATTGGAGGTATACATCGAAAAACGTTCCCTCGTAAGAATCAAAAATAAAAACTTTTTTCCTGTTTTTGTCTCAACATATTTCATATTCTTCATTCTTAATTAGGTGTATTAACAGCCGACGAAAAATTCACACCGGTTGGTACTGCATTATCAAAATTACCCAGTTTCAGTTCACTAGCATTGGCGAAATCTGTTTTTACAGCACTAACAAAATATAATTGTGGTGGTGATTTAATCATTCTATCGTCAATTTTACATGTACTCAATACATCAACGATATTAAAAATTATTCCAGTAGAAATGAAGTCTTCTGATGGAGATTTTATGACGCTAATCAATCTCATGAAACAATTATTGTTAGTAAAACAAAGTATACCATCAAAACAATTCAGTGTAGAAACATTTTGTCGTGAGTGGCTACTTATCCAAAGTTGTTAAATTAGTGTCAGAATGTCGGTGTTTCGCAGTAAAGTCGACTTCTCTCAGCGAGGAAAAGGAATTTTAAAAAAAGCGAATTTCACGGACTACATGATGGCTACCTTTCTGCCTGTTTTATTCCACTGGAAATCTCAACATAGTCTTTGTTTCTAAAAAACATAGCAAGTTACCGAATTCACTACTATTAACACACACAAAAAAAACAAGTATATAAAACTGATATTTCTAATGAGCTCCTGCACCACATGCAGAAATATCGCGTTCAGCTGTCAGAGATTTTGAACGAACTTGTTTTTTCCGCTCAATTACTGTCTCTTGTTTTACTACTACAGACTCAGTCGTAGCAAGACACCTGATCAATTCTTTCGTGGGGAAAGAAACCAGAGCTACTCAGTACCTAAAAATGAATTCTGGAACTTCTAAGGCGGCCTGTCTTGTAGCCCGTTAATTATTTAAAAAAATGTTGTGAGGGGGTGAGGGTGAGGAAATGAATGAAAAAATTTCCTCCTTGAAGTATATTAAAAAATCTTGGGACACACTTCAGGGTCCTTTTTGGACGTTGATCTCTGGAAAACTCATGAACCGTAAGGTTTTTTATTCTCGTCACTCATTGTGCCGAACATTTATGGAAAGTTTCGTCAAGATCGAATGTACAGTGTCGGAGATAATTTCTGAGGGGGGGCGGGCCCTTAAGTAATCACTAGAGAATTAGAAGTCGGTTCTCTCGTTTAATCTTCAGGTTAATTATAGCACAAAAATTCGGGTCAAATTTCGAATATTTTGCATCGAGTCAGATACGGTCAAAGCCTTCGGGTCTGGTCAGGGTCGGATCATCTACCTGAGAACCGATTCGGTCTCTGGAACAGAAGATAAATTGACGACGGTTTTAAGTGCAACTTCTTTACTGGGGCGTATAGTTCTGCAAGTGCTAAGTTTATTGAAAGTTCTCTGCAGAAACAAATACTTGACGCAAGCGGAAAACACAAGCCACGAGTGAAACTAGATAGTTATGCATTTTAAGTCAGGTCTTGATTAAGTTATAGTGCTTAGTTCCTTAACAATGCTAATCACTGTAGATAATATAATTCACTGTTTGGTAAGGATTTAAAATACTGAATGCACGTCCGCCACCTACAGCACCACTTTGACCGACAATCGAATGACTGTGGTCACCACCTGTATTGATGCTAATACGCGTTTTATCCGAAGCAATGTAATGTGAATGAAAACCATGATCACTGCCACGGCCACCTTTTGGAGTATGCATAGTCATAGTTCCTCCACTATACGCTGAAGTACCAGTGTGTCCACCATGATTATGTCCAGGATCGTAATACGAATGTGAATGACTACCTGCTGCTAGAGTAGAATAGGTACCTTGATCATGAGCGTTGATGGCAGTTGATCGAGTGTCAAAGTGTGTATTGCTTGACCGCCTCTCCCACCTATTTTTCCTGCATTAATAACAACTAAACTTGACTGATCGACGCCTAGGGGAAATCTGCCACGAAAATCAGGCAGATTAAATGTTGTTAAACCGTCGCCTACACCATAACTTGTTCCGATGACAGAGAATAAACGTTGGTATCTAACTCGTGAAACAGCTGTACCATCACATAGTAGCCATGGGTAAGGGGGAATACCGCCAACTGAATAGAGTTGAATAACCCCTGTTAAAAATGTCGAAGGTTTATTAGCATAGACAGTTGGTGTGCTAACTGGATTGATCGAGCGAATAATTGCACCGTTGGTTTTATCAGCAATTAATTGTTTTGACAGAATAGCTACCTGTACACGGTCAGTTAGATCAACTAGCTTGTAAACGTTAAACGATTTGGGTACAAATTTCTCGCCATTCCAGTGAAATTCAGATTGCTGCTGTGACAGAAGCCGTTGTATCTCTGTTAAGGAATAAATATCATGGTTTGTTTGCATCAACATATCTTGCAAAGAGTTTGTATTAGTAGTAGTAGAGCCACCTGAACCACCGATACTACCGAGGCCGAAGATAGAAACTCCACCGCCTCCATGTGCCGTGTGACTATTGCTTGTTGATTGTAAACTTTGTTTATTTAAATCGAAATACGTATTTGTATCATTCCGTCGTTTCGTTTCGGTGTCATTGTAGGTAAATAGTTTACTTAGTTCAGATGTTAAACGGTCAGGATTTAGATCGGATGAAGACCAAACTTGATCAAATAACGCTGCATCCAGTTGTGTTTGTTGAGCACTATTCATACCTGAGACGAAATTAGCAGAGTCAACAAAATAGATATTGATCGTTCTATCCTAACCTACACTGAATGACTGTTACCTTGTTGTAGTAGTGAAATAAACTGTTCTTCAAGGCCATTAGTTAACAGTGAGAGATTTGTGTTCGTATTCTCCAGATAAATCATTTTTTTAACATTGGTCATGTAGTTGCCAACAAATTTAGATGCCTGATTACGATGAATGTACTGTGCGTTTGTATTGCCACCATCGGCACTTGTTTTACTCAATACATTTTTCAACTGATCACTAGTAATTGATATAAAATTTGTTGTAACTTGCTTGAAACCAGCAAAATAGAAGGCTATTTCGATTTCATAATCACCATTTCTGATTTTCTGCATGACCAAATGAGCATTTTTATCGCTGGAACATTGAAATCGAATGTTAGAATGAGAGAATTTGGATGGACAACTCGGTAGGGATGAACACCGGCAACTGGCGAAGCTGTTCCACTGACTATGTAAGCCATTAGTGAATCAATCATCAAAGGTGCAACATCCCAGTAGTTTGAATATTGTGTTATAGCCAAATTGTACTTGTTAACGATTGCTTTACGAGCCAGCTCTTGAACTTCACTGTTACCTAACATTAATTTCAAACGTATTTCACCGTTAACAACTGAAATCCATGTATCATTATTCATGTCACTTTGTGTCGGTGCCATAACTGGTACATAATAAAATATCCACTTCTCTGGAGTCTTTTCATTTTCATTTTCATTTGAAAATGCACCATAGACATACACCTGTGCTCCTTGGTGATGAAATATTGTCAAGATTTGTGTATTGACAACAGCTGTAGCAAAACTTGGATCGTTTCGACTCGTAGAATTGGTTGTTATATTGACCGTGAACAGTTTTCCGTCAGCCAACGAAACTGAACTCAACAAAAGAGCGGAAATAAGAGAGAAAAACATTTTTCTTCGGGAATTAAACGAAAAACAAAGAGCATAAGCAATCTTTCACATTTATACTCTTTGAGGTATACTTCTGATATCAGCGAGACTTGAAACTTCTTTCTGTCTCTCTCTCATGCAATATCTGTTAATCTCATAATTACTAAGTAAATACTTACTTTTTTCTCGAACTTTGTACAGAGTAATTTCTGTAACTTGAACTTATAGCACAGTTTTTTCACGTCAGTAGTGATATCTCAAAGTCAACAGTAAATATTTTGGAAAAAAATTGCCTTAGAAACTTTATAGCAGCATTACTATGAGATGTCATTTTGACTTACTGTCTGTCTGTAATCTTTAAAAGAATGTGCCTGCCAGAAATCACTTGGTTTTTTTACTTAATAAACAGCCCGCCTTAGTGTTACCAAAGATTTTTAAATAAAGAGGCAAATAGTTTGACACACGCGAAAGCTAAGTTTAATGTTACAAAACTAAGCCATATCTTCTGTCAAACACACTCTTTAATTCTATCTCAGTTTATAATTTTTCTCTTTTGAATAGGTCTCTATAACAATGAGCTAACCATCGCAATTAAAACCCTCCTTCTCACGACGATCTCGATCGTGCAAAGGAAGAAGAAATGTTGAAAGAAGTACGTACATGATGCATCTAAATCCTGTGAGGCTCTACGGCACAGGCCGATATCAGGAACCAATTTGTCTTGTTAGAGAATTTATATCAAACGGGTGTCTTCTCTACTATCTTCAGAAGGATAAAAAACAACTGCTGCTGGATGTCCAGGACGGAATCCAACCGGACCGTACCGGACGCATGATCAAGTAGACCGGACCGTACCGGACGTATGCGTAAGTCGACCGGACCGGACACAAAAAGTCTGTTCGGTTCCTTCTCTGCTACATTTGAGAATGAATTCTACTACAATTATTCCAAACTATGGTTCGGCACACAGTGTCAATATACATTTAATTCAGATGAAGTTTTATTTTACAATATTATTAGACAAAGGTTTCGACCGAAAGGTTATTATTCACCAGAAAATTACAAATGGTACATGTTATCTCCGCCTGAAATGTAATCGCCGCCCATCGCCATTGTGCTTAGATTGGAGTGAAATATGTGGTGGAAAACTAGACTGTGAAGATAGTGAGCATGAACAAAATTATTACGTGTTAGAATCCATCACCATTTTGTGAAGAATATATTTGTAGTTGGAGATCAAATTTTTGCTTGCGGTGATGGAGATTGTGCTGGAAAAGAATATCCTCCAGCAACAACACCATCATGTAAAAATGGGCGAGACACTATGTTTACAAGATTGTTATTAGATTCTACAACTAACAGTATGTCGTATACATGTTGGATCGCATTACAGCTAGCAAATATATTCCAAGATATCTAGACGGTTGCTCCATCAGCGAAATGAGAAGACTCAGCTAACTGTCCATCAATATCTTTTTGCCTGTTTTACACAATCATATTTATTTTGTGTATACAACGAACAAAACAGATTGGAGTACAAGCATTTCACCAGAGTATACACGTCATAATGAAAAATTATGCGATTTTTTAGGTCGAACAATTTCTTTTAATGGATTATCTTGTTGACATTACCACGAATCATATCTCAGATGGAATGACTTATTTCAAAATGTTCCACCCATCTTCAAAGCCTGTTCATTGCCAGGTTTAAATATAAACTACATAAATGGCACTTGTCCACATTCATCATTATTCCATTGTGAAGAAACATCGAAATGTATTTCAAAATATCGTCTACTTGATCGTTTGGTTGATTGTTATCGAAATACGGACGAGTTGAATGAACAAAGTTAAGGAGGGGGCCCACTTTTCTTTGGTTTTGGCCCACTGCTTTTCGCACCTAGTCTTGATCACATTTTGTAGAGAAAACGACTTTACACATTTTCATGTGCATATGTAGCATTATAACCTTATGGTGACATTTTCTGAGGAGGTACATAAAGCATATCGATGCTGAGCAAAACAATTTTGTTCAAAATCCAGTACGAAGTTATCCTAAAGCTTGATATAGAAAAATAGCCGTTGCAAAACTCTACAATATTCCGATTAAACAAACCCTACATATCATTGGCTCAATCCTTTATACGTCAAATATGAGCCCATTGACCCCTAAAAGTCAATACAATTGATGTTTTAGCCATTTTACTCCCATAAATAAGAGAGGATGCAACTAGTCCTTAGTACAGAAGAATAGCTCTTGAAAAGCTCTACAATATTCCGATTAAATATTTGATGTAGAACTCGAACTCGAAGGTTCGAACATGTTCAAAGTCGAACCCGAACCCGAACTTTTTAAAGACGAACTCGAACGTCGAACTTCGAACGTCGAATGTTCGGGTGAGGTGAGTACGCCGATCGAAGGGAGGCATGAGCGTTGTCGTGGATTCAAAAGTGATGGAGAGTTGTTCGCAGATATAAGTTCCCAAAGTCAAGGGACCGATCGAGTGCAGACGAGCGTTACCTTGTAATTTATATGCTCCAATGATTCCTCAGTTATTAATCCATCAAATGTTTCTCTGACATTAAACGTGACTTTGGTGCTCAGTCACAGAAGTGTTGCTTATATAAAGCTAATGTGTCAATGCACTTAATACTCAGATGTCACAAACAGGATATACTTTTTTATATCTCGATTGAGATATTTTTGATATCTTGTATAGTTTTATTTTGAAAAATATACAGTGGTCGGAAATGAGGCTTTGACGTTAGAAAAACAGAATTCGACGCAGTTTTTCATCTTGTGTTTGATGGAATACCTAGTTTTTTGAATTAACACCTTGATTTTTGCGTTAACAAACGTTATTGCGAAAAATCATAAAAGGTATCCCGTTTAGGATATTAATCGGTACATCATCGGCACTGCCGAATGATGTAGTTTAATAATAAATGTTAATTGCTGTTTTAAAATGAAAAAGTTTCTCTTTTACGCCAAACGAAACTCACATCTATTCTAACGAAGTACGTATTCTATTCTTTTTCAATTAATTTAGTTCCAAACACAAGTCACTTCAACCATCAGCAGCAATGCTCAACGCGTGACTGAATAAAGTTGCAAACAATCCCTTATACATATATATTTCAGATAAAAACATTACTGACATATATTAACAACAATGGATACAACGTACAGGTAAATCAAAAATAGTTTATCCGTATTTGGTGAGTTTTCATCCTTGCTGTGTTTTGTTTGCTACTTGTACGCTAAACATATTTGTCAGTGTATTCATTTGTGTTGTTGTTGCTAAATATGGTTTATGTAACACATATTTAAAAATGAAGCGTCTTAATGTCTTACGAAATAAATCAGATGACAATGTATAAAGATAAAAGCTTTTTGTATTATTTATATAATAAATTGTATTTGATAAACCGGATACAAACGTTTCAATTGTTTGACGTTCAACACTTGATAGAACATTCATTGTTACCATTGAATATGTATAAAAAATAATCCATTGTAATGATAATACAGCTGTTACAACAACTTGTAATAAAACCATGATTATGAATTGATTATTGATCCGGCTCGATTTATTTGTTCTTGAAGAAGACGGTAACGACGTCTGAGCATCCTAAAGCAGTAAAAATTCGCCGGAAGCGTGGAGCCGTTGTCCTCTTGTTATCGTTAAAAAGAACAGAACAACATGTCTTACTTGTTAAAATTTTTTCTCCTATAAGAACGCTTGTTGAGTCACCTTTTGAACAAGACTGGAAATAGGATGAGAAATAAAACGTGCTATTCTAGCTCGACAATTGTTTTCACGCTCTCCAAATCTCGTGCGTATGGCAGAAAATCATTAAACAGGAATATTCTCCTAGTTCCCCCAATAGAGCATTATTACCATATACTTACAATTCTTTGTCGACTCTGTAAAACATTTTTATATGTCATGAGGAACAGAATTAACATTAAGAATGGTTGTAATAGACCACTAAATATAATATATAATATTGAATTGAGACCTGGATTTGTTGAAATACAAAATCCATGAATGTTATCATAGAATATAGGTGAATGTGCTGATGCAATCATACTATAAAAAATTCCACTAGCAACTAAATATCTCGCGTATTGATATTGATTTATTTTTCGTATTTTTGACTGCAATGGACAGCTACATGCATAACGATCAATTAGAGATAATAATAGAAACGTTGTTGACAATTGCGGTAATAAAACAAGTAAATAAAGAAAGAATTTACATAAGAATCTTGTGCTAGCAAAATAATTAATGCCCAACTGAAAAGCTGAACTTAGATAAACTTGTAATAAGTTAACATTCAAAACAAGAAAATCAGCAGTTGATCCACATAGTGAATAGAGTGAACATGTATTAGAGCGTAATAGCTTCTGTAAAAATGTTATATAATTGCATAAACATCCTAAATTACCAAAAAATATTAATATTATTGGTAAATGTATAATAACGTTTTGAGATAAGAAGGTTAATGTTGATACCGTAAATGATGTTACAGTCACATTCGATGACATTGCTAAGAATTGTATTTATGATGAACGCTATTTGTATATATATATATTTCGTTTCATACGAATTAAAAATCAAGACTCGAGGAACTCATGTCAATAACGTTTTTTGAGTTTATGTGCAAAGTTAAAAGTAAAAATTTAAGAACTATTGCGGCTATGATGTTAGCCGCAATAGTTCTTAAATTTATATTTAGGAAGTCATGTGATATGTTTCGAGGGCTCTTAATGTCTTATCTTACTTTCAGTAATATAATAATGATGATTGCATGACGTACATTAGCTATAGCCCT